CATTTCCATCAGACCAAAAAAATATTTAAAACAACAAAAAAACAAATAGGAAATTAAATCAAACCTTCAAGTGGGCAGCACGCTTTTCCTTAACAGTGAAAACTCCAGTAGACTCCACAACGAAATCGGCTTCGGTTTCGCCCCATGGGATTTCATCAGAGTTCCTAAAAATACACAAAAAAAAAAAAAAAAATTAAAACTTTTCATTTAAATATACTCTGAATCAAAAAAATTGCAACGGAATTGAGAGAATAAAGGGCATAATTACCTGACTTCGAAAACAGCGACTTGTTTCTCGCCAAAAAGAAGAGTTTTTGAGTCCTTGACCTTGACATCATGATGCTTCCATTGTCCATGAACACTGTCATACTTGAACATGTATGTCTTCACAACACATTACAGATTCACAATGATTAGTTTCAAACCCAAAAAACAAAGACTCAATAAAAAACCAACAAAATCTCACAAACCTCACATCTCTCAAAACATTGAATAAACAGTCAAAAACCTAGAAATCGCACATTCACAAATACAAACCTGAAAATTATACAATCCTGCTTTAATTCGATTCAACAAATACAACTTTTCAGAAATTTTTTTGAAGAATGCCCCATGAAATTCTAAACAAACCCCAAGAATTCTAAATAACTACAGACTACCTGAATTACTGCCACATTGGAAACACATATTTGATTTGAGTAATTAACTCTTTCAAAAAATAAAAGTACTATCACCAAACACAAATTTTTCATTTCTGGAACAGATATTGCAAGGAGAGAACACAATGTAAAATCTAAAAACACCCAATAAAACAATAACAAAAAGGCAAAGTTGTGAGCAACAAGTTAAAAATTAGAATCCAAAAAAAACAGATGAACAGATGAAAGAAAGAAAGAACTTAAAAACAGATGAATTAAGAGCTTAAAACAATTTAAAAATTAGAACATAAACAAAACTTGAAAAACACCCAAAGTCTTTGCTCATTAAAACAATCATTAAAAACAAAAGCATGCACACAAAATCAATTTTACTTCGAACATTGATATGAACGAAAGGAATGTTTATGGTTGAAACCCTTTGACGGGATTACTAGCCTCCAATCTTCTGTTTGAGAATTTGATCTGAAGGTACATGCATTCGAAAGAGAAAGGAAATAGAAATTAGGGTAAAAATCAAAACATCAAATCCAAAAACTAAAATTGAGAGCGAATACTCACTGTCTCGCGGATAAGATCCGAACCAAAATGTCACGACCCGAACCCGCCCCTATGGGTTAAGGCCATAACCGGCCAGTAATCACGAGATTACCTACGGCCTCAAACCAAATAAGACAAAACTCATCAGAGTAAAGGGGCCGAACGGAAGCAAATTTAAAACTTTGTTCATAGAGCCGTGCTTATATGCACATCATAACATTCCACACATACATATGTTAATAACGCACAAGCAGAAAGTATAGTAACATAAAGTTCTATACAGACAGGATCATTCAAATCTAAGTTAGCCAAAAGAAAGCTATATACAGACGTACACCAAAGTCCTTGCCAACATGATAAAATAACATAAAATGGCAGAAGGGCGAAGACGTGTCTCGTGTGTGAGACGCAGGGGCTGACTCTTCAAAACCTTAGTTGTTCCATACAGACTTTACTGAGGCTGGGTCTGGACCTCTCTTGGCTCACCTAAAAACACATGAATGAGCGTGAGCGAAAGCCTAGTGAATAATATCAAAGAAAGAAAATTCATTAGAACAATATACATCAGACGACCTTAGGCCCAATTCATATTTCTATCTAGCATATAAATAGATATAGATCATACTGGCCTCTGGCCCATTCATTCTATCATGTCAAACTGGCCTTCGGCCCATTCGAACTTTCAGTCACGTCAGACTGGCCTTTGGCCCATTCAAACTTTCAATCATGTCAGACTGGCCTTTGGCCCATTTATACTTTCATATCAAACTGGCCTTTAGGCCTTTCAAACTTTCATATCAAACTGGCCCTTAGGCCTTTCAAACTTTCATATCAAGCTGGCCTTTAGGCCTTTCAAACTTTCATATCGAACTGGCCCTTAGGTCTTTCAAACTTTCATATCAAACTGGCCCTTAGGCCTTTCAAACTTTCATATCGAACTGGCCCTTAGGCCTTTCAAACTTTCATATCAAGCTGGCCTTTAGGCCTTTCAAACTTTCATATCGAACTGGCCTTTAGGCCTTTCAAACTTTCATATCAAGCTTTGTCCACCATTCAAATTAATGAACTTTACAAAACCTACATAGAAGTAAGTAATTGGACAACAACATATTTCAGATATTACTCACCGTGATTGGCTTGTGAATTTACCCGGGAGCTTGACCGTACATATCACATAACACATATGGGTCACAAATAATTCAATCCGTTCTTTAATTCACATATTCCTCTTTAGGCTTTATTCTTATCTCTTTAATTCAATTACAATGCTCAATGTATGCCTAAGAGTACTTGGAAGTGAAAGGGAACGGAAACAGACACAGAATGCATTTTCAAAATTTCAAAAAACAGGGTCCCCGCTCGAGCGGACCCTTAAGCCCTGCAAAAGTGCTGGTTACATCAAATTCACGCTCGAACGTGAACTCGGGCACTCAAGCAGAAGGTCTGTCTACATAGCTCCACGCTCGAGCGTCAACTTCCCCGCTCGAGTGGGAACCAGGTCTGCAAAAATACGCTGGGAGCACGAATTCCACGCTCGAGCGGCGGTTCTCCCGCTCAAGCGGACATCAAATTTTCTAGGTTTTTCCAGCAGTGTTCTTGAGCTTCAATTTGATGTTCAAGGGTTCCAAATGCATGATTTCAGTCCCAAAAACATATAAACACATTATATTGTATGAGAGTGTAAGGATATTACATCAAATTGTTCAAACTCAACATCTAGTTCTCAAACAACTCTCATTTCTTTAGTATGAACAAAACTCATGTCTTCAAACTTCACATAAGCTTCATTTCTTCAAGAATCAAACATGCATGTAAGTTTTGGCTTCCAATTCGAGTTCAAATGGTGCAAATAAGGCTTATGATCATGGAACTTATGAAAACCATGCATGCATGTGAGATTTGATGCCCAATTCCTCTTGTTCAACATGGCTCATGCAGGAATATGCAAAACTATAGCAATCATGCACATGAATGCTCATATAAACTCCCAATTCAATAAATTCAACTCAAATTACGCCCTTGATCACAAATAAACCTTGAACTTACAAAATTACAAATTCAAACTTATGAATTCAAGATCAATTACCTATCTAGGGGCTCAATTTTTCCAATCAATAGCAAGTTCTTGAGTATGGCTTCAAGATTAACAAGCTTCAAGACCAAACTTGAATTATCTCCCCTCTCTCCCTCTGATTTCGGGTCTCTCTCTCTCTCTAGAGAGTTGATTTCAGCCAAAGATAAAATAAAAAAGGGAATTGAACATATCATGGCCCCTTATACAACCCCACTCAAGCACATTATTTTAATATAAGATAATTGAGCATTAAGTCATTAATTTAATCCGATTAATCTGACCCAAATCAATTTCCAACCAAATTTCACCGTAGGCTCTAAAAATTACGCTAATCACTATGGCGTAATCAATTTCGGGTTCTGTGGCCGATAAGGCCTTCAATTTAATTTTCAAAGCAGATAATCAAACAGATATTCCTACGGTGAATAGACAGAAATTCAAAACCATATATTTTCACATAATGGCACACCAAATCATATTAAACACATAATCATACTCACATTAAGGACCAATTAGCATAATACAGAACATGGGTCTTACACGAAACTTCGCTGATACAATGATGCTTCTTCGACAATGTCAAAATTTCCTATTGAAAAAGGAAAAATGTCTCAGAATTTCATCCGAAGCTACATTCATTCGAAAGAGAAAGGAAATAAAAATTAGGGTAAAAAGCAAAACCTCAAATCCAAAAACTGAGAGCGAAGACTCACTGTCTCACCTATAAGAACCAAACCGAAACTTTGCTAATACAATGATGCTTCTTCGACAATGTGGAAATTTCTTGTTGAAAAAAAAAATGTCGAAGATTGGAAACACAAAAATATATCCAACACATTGAGGCAGAAATTGAACCTTACGATTGGTGATGATGAGCAGAGGCGAAAGCATAACCTATTTCCTCCAAATATGAAATAGAACAGAGAGAGGGAGGATGACCGAAATTACCTTGCGAAGGGAACAACCACAGGTAGGAGAGAGGCAACCTTGCGAGTGGTGATCATGAGCAGCGGTGATTCGACTTCAACAAAGACAACAACGATGAACAATAGAGCCAGATTGAAGATGTATTTTGGAAAAAATAGAACAGAGAGAGGGAGGAGGACAGGAATCATACTCGCTTCTCCCCATCCCACCTACAACATCACTACTAAAATCAATTCTAATAGAACACCAAAAATAACAACTTAATTCCAAGTACATAAAGCAAAAACAAAACAAAAACGTTATTAAAGTTGAAAATGCTTTTTTTTTTTTTTTTTAAATTTTATTATCTAATCTGAAACCAAATAAAGAAAAAAATAACTAAAAACTTGAGCTTTATTGAAGAAAGATTTTCATTTTATGTATGGCAAAGGGTCAAAGATTGCAAAAATGAAAATCATCCATTATTTCAGTTACTTTTCCTCAAATTTGGGTCTTCTAAAATTTCAGCTTCAATTCTTATTTTTTTGCCTAAAATTTCAACACACTGAAAATTCATCAACAAAAGAACCAAAAACAAAACAATTAATGATAATAGGCAAAACTCATGAAGTCGTAACCTGATAAATACCTGATATTGCCAAATCTTCTTGTACTCAGCTCCAACAAAGATTGTAGAAAGAAAAATAAATCAATTGAATTGAATTGGGTCTTCTAAAATTTTAGCTTCAATTCTTCTATTTTTGCCTAAAATTGCAACACACACTGAAAATTCATCAACAAAAGAACCAAAAACAAAACAATTAATGATAATAGACAAAACTCATGAAGCCGTACCTGGAAAACCAATCGCTACCTCTTCGTCTCCAAGGGCTTCAACGGCGATCTCGCCATCTCCGGATCCAAGAAAACAATCTCCGCCAGCTGATCTCTACGTGAATGATTGTCTCACCATCCACGGTGTCGACGGCGTACTGGACCCTAACTCTGTGTCCAAGTGCATGTTTCTTGATCAAATGCTTCTGATAAAATCTGGAGGAGTCGATCCATCTCCATCTCAATCTCAATCGCCTCTTGATCATGCGGTTAAGGCTTTGAGAGGAGTGCTCGCTGTTTCACACACCATAGATGAACTCAAACATTCTTCAGCCAAGAGTCCGATTTCGAAAGGGAGAGAGAGATAAAAAGGGAATGGCGAGACGTGAGAGCAGAGAGGGAGAGAGAGATAGAGAGGGAAGGTAGGGAGACATGGGTTGGTGGAAAGCTCAGGAGAAATGTTTGGGCGAGACTATAATTGATTTGAATCGTTAATATAAATGTAAGATTCATCTTAGCCGTTCAAACGAAAATGTATACATTTTATACATTTTCAAAAACCCTTCTATCTTATTATATAGATATATATATATATATATTTTTGAGAACATATAAAGTAATTATATTAAAATAAAGGACAAATTTAACTTTACTCTCTTGGCTCAAGTGCAAATCACCCATCTCAGGTGCAAATCACCCATCTCATTTAGAAATAAGAGAAGTGATTTAGAATTCTACTGATATGGCAACAAAAAAAAAAAAATAAATAAAAACATTTTATCAAACTGTGGAGCCCATAGTTTAGAGCTCTCAATCATGGGAAAATTAGTCTAAGGTCCCTCACCCATTTTTAGTAATGGAAGAGATCCACAATATTATTTTTTAATGTCTAAGGTCCCTCAACCCACACCTATCTATTACGGAGAAATTTGATATATATCTCGCTCTCTATCTCTCTCCTGTTGCTTTTCTCTCTCTCTCGTTGAATAACTGAACGCAGAGTTCACCCGCGACACCTTCGATGGCAACCAAGTCTTAGAGCTCAGATACGAAGCTTACTTGCGAATGACGATTCGCTGCACCAAATCCATCTGTTCATCGGCTCGTTCCTCTTGGAATCCCCACTCCATCGCCGTCGCTCACCGCCTCGGTCCCGTTCCAGTCGGCCACACCAGCGTCTTCATCGCCGTCTCTGTTGTTCATCGTGCTGAAGGTTTGGATGCTTGTAAATTTCTGATTGATGAGATCAAGGCTCCTGTTCCGATTTGAAAGAAAGAGGTTTATGTTAATGGAGAGGTTTGGAAAGAGAATTCTGAGTTTTTGGAGAGGAGGATTTAGATTGTTGAGGGTAATGGTGTTTGTAGTGAGAGGAAGAAGGGTTGCTGTGCTGTGAAGGTGAAGGTGGAGAGTGAAGCTTCTGATTCTTGTGACAATTGAAGGATTGAAGAATGGAATTGGGTAAGGGAACTTTGTTGAAATTGTATTTTCAAAACCCTAGTTTATGAAACAACATAACCACTTGATTAGAATGCTATGAAATGTGGCGTGTCACTGTAAGAGTGACTAATGTTAACTGAATTGATTGCTGAGCTCTTTTGTAAATTTGATGAAAACTCATTCTAATTTATTATAAAAAAAATTCTATATGGTGAGTGTTTGAACTAGTGAACTAAATTTCTCTAGGCAAAATAGAGAGGAGTGGTGGTCATCGCCATTGTTGCAAACAATTGCAGAGCCTCTATGTATGTGTGTGTGTGGTGACTGGGACTTGCAGAGAAATTCCCATAATTTCCTCAGTTCATCATTCTTGGGATTGGAGATGGGTTTACACTTGTTGGCCTACAAGAGTACTTCTATGATCAAGTTCCAGATTCAATGAATTTGTGTGTGTACGTGTGGTATGTATATGGTGTGTGTTTGGACTAGTGAACTGAATTTTTTTTTCATTTGAACTGAATTTTCTCTGGGTTGAGACCAGAGAAATTCTCTGGTTTTTTAACTGAATTTTCTCTGGGTTGGTCTAGAGAAATTCTTTGGTTTCGAGCTGGAACCTGGAATGCTTAATTTGTATAAATCCCACTGATGTTATTGCTTCTTTTTTTTTTTTTTGGTAATCAGCTCGATGTTGTATGCACTTTCTGTCCTCCATTAACCACTCCTGAAGGTCAGAGAAATTTTGGAAAGTCCAGAGATTTGGACCAATTTTCTCTGTGACGTGAATTTTCTCTGGACCAATTTTTTCTGGATCAACTTGAGGGACTTTAGACATTATGAAAATATTAGATGTCCTTTATACTATAAAATCTTAATACGAGAGACCTTAAAAGAAAAAACCCCTTTTGTTAGAAATAATCACATAACTCCTACATTTTTTAACGACCAAAACGTACCATTAATACCGTTGACAGAAATAACAAAAAGACTATTTTATCCCTATGTATATAAGAATTACTACATTCTTTTTTTACTTTTGTTTTTTCCTCATGTTCTTCTTCTTCAAAAGTAGCTTAAATTCTTCACTCAACAACTACCATGGTTGGCATAACAGAGACAATTGAGAGCAAGAGGGGAACAAAACAGACATGGTGGAGGAAAGTGGAAGCAAAACCATTGTCGGTGATCATTGGCAAACCAGTCTGGTGCTCATCTTTCTTCTACACCTGCCGTCGGCACAGAAGCCCCATCTCTACCCTCCTCAATACTTCGCCACTGCCGCTATCAACAACCCCCTTCGCGTTGCGGCAGTGATTGGCAGAGGAATTGGCAGAAGGTTCAGAAGCTTCGCAATGGTTTTCACACCTTCGCCACCGGCGTAGGGATTGGACTTTGCAGGTTTTGAGGTTTAATTTGTTAAGCAAAGAGTTGAGATTTATACAGAATTTTGAACATGATTGGCAAATTCATATTTGGATAAATTACAAATATATCCCTGAGATTTACTTAAAATACAAATTGCCCCTTATGATTTGAAAAATTACAAATACCTCCCTGTTAGAATTTTTTATTTAACAGAATTAATTGAAAAAGTGAAATTTCTAACTGTTCGCCTATACAATAATAAAATGATTTGAATTATTAATTGAAATAAAATTTTAACATTATTAAAAAACTGTTAATTAATTTAATAATTTATTAATAAAAGGACCTATTTGTTAAGAAATTAGAAATCTGAGGGGGTATAATGTAATTTTTAAAATCACAGGGAATAATTTGTAATTTAAGTAAACCTTAGGGGGTATATTTGTAATTTACCCTTGATATTTATATACATGAATAAATAATATGAGTAATGATTGAGACCCCCCTCCCATAAGACCTTTATAAATCTGGACCACTTATGTATATGAGTGGGCCCCATACATAGATGGAGGGCCAAGATCACTTTAGGGTGTAGGGGTCAAACCCAAAGAGGGTTCCTAACATTTTCCAAATAATATTTATATATTTGTTGGGATTAATTGATTGAATAACATTGAATTGCTTCCATGGCTATCTTTGTTTAGTGGAGAGGGAGACGGTGATTGTCAGCCTGTCGCGGAGGACGGTGGGTCTTCCTCCTCTTTCGTCTTCTATGTTTCTTATTTCTTCAACCTCTTTCTCTCCCTATCTCTGCCTTAGACACATGCAATAGAAAAAAAATAATGGCACTTTAGTTATGTTAAGAAACTTTAATGGTATTTTAATTTCAAAATATTGTTGTGTTCATGCCCACATTAGAAAGAAGCATGTGTATTACACTTTCGGTTTGTTTAACCGGACTTCGTAATGATGCGTTTTGGTCTATAAAGAATGTGAAGGTTATGTAGTTATTTCTAAATGATAAGAGGTGATTTGTAAATGGGCCAAACCATAAGAGAATAAAGTGAAATTTGCCCTAAAATAAAAGTAAACAACATATAGATCAAGAAAGAAAAAATAGTAAGACTCCAAAGGGCCAAACAAACAACCAAACAAAAACTACAAACTACCCAAAAAAAAAAAAAAAGCCACAAAATTAGAGCTACACAATACTCCACCTTCGGCAACATATAGTGTAACGCCCTAAAAATTAACCCATTATATATCATTGACATGCATTATTTAAAGAAGACATTTTATTAATTCATTCATCAGAGTATTACTAAATAATCGAATAAAATGCCCTACAGGCTTACATCTTTCCAAGCCAACACTTGGATACAAAAATACGAGTTCTAACTCAATACAAGAAAAGCCCTAGGCTTGAGTGTTTACATGTACTAACAAATAAAAGCAAACAACAGAAAAAAAATAGTCTTCAGAATCCAAGTCCTTCCAAGCTAAGTCCTTGGAGGTAGCTTATCCCCTGAACCTGAAAATGATGTTCCCATAAAGGGTGAGCCACAGCCCAGTAGAAATAAACTAAACCACATATAAGCAATGAATAAAGCAATAGCATTCAACAGATGGTCAACCAAAATAATCAATTACTTCATTTTACAGTCTCACGACACTATTGCCAAAGATACGTTTTACTTTCCAATTTAATCAACATGGCTCAAAACCTGGCCAACTTACAACAATGAATTACATATATCATATTCACATCCTTCCAATATCAACAAACAAATGAGACTCAAGCTCAAATAAATCAAAACACTTCATACTTCCAGATTGATACACATTTTACCCAACTGCGGGCAATACCTCTTCATATGCCCTGGCTGACCACACTGATAACACGAGAGTGGCTGACCTCTACCCTGACTCTGGCTCTGAGATCGAGCCGAAGAAGATGCTGCTCTCTGAACTCCTCCCCTCTGAGGACAAACTGGAGACTTGTGGCCCAGCTGGCCACACTTGAAACAGGTAATGTCTCCCTGACTGCCTTTCCCCGAACTAACACTCGGTACAGGAAAAGTCAA